CCGAGAAATTGATATCTTAAAGTTCGAGCCTTGGGATTTACCTGGTAATTATCAACAAATCCCAGTTCTTAAAGTTTTTTTCTTACTTCACTTTTTATTTGCATTTCAATCAATCTGAAACTCTCTATATGCAATTGGGTCCAATCCAAATGTTATGTTCTTACTTTTTTACCAAATCCCAGTTCTTGAATTTTCATTTTTTTGACTATTATTCTGATACCTTTTCAATTTGCATATTAATGAGTGAAATTTTGCATATGCAATTGGGTCAAATCCAATGTTGTGTTTTATGTTTATGCAGAGAGATCGTTGCTTAAGTCGGATGATGAGAATTGGTTCTTCTTCAGTCGACCAGAGTACAACAAGCAGAAAAAAAACAGGACCACACAGGAAGGCTTTTGGAAGATCACAGGCAGAGAACATCCGATCAAGGCTCGAGACAACAGAAGTGTCATCGGTAGAAAACCGGGCGGCCGGAGCCTTATGTAAAAGAGAGAGAGAGAGAGAGAGAGAGAGGTGGCTAGGATTTGTGAAGGGAAGAGCTCTCTAGAGTTGACGTACCTCATTCTGACGTACCTCATTCCTTGTGCGTGGCCAAGTATTTATAGGGGGCCTTGACGAGGTTGGTGTGGTTGGTGAGGTAGGTGAGGTTGGTGAGGTTGGTACATTTAGGGATTTGATTAATTAGGGAATTAATCAAATCCCTAATTGTGGTAGGTGAGGTTAGTGGGGTTGGTGTATTTAGGGATTTGATTAATTAGGTATTTCTCAATTTAATTGGATAACCCCCAATTAAATTGAATAACCCCCAATTAGGTTTAGTAATTCCCAATTAGGTCAAATAATCCCCAAAAGGAAGGAATTACTTGACCTAGGGTTCTGATTTAATTTGGTTCCCACACCAACCCTTGCTGCAAAGGGCGTGTAGAGTGTTCACTCTGCACACGAGGGTCCTTGGTTTGATTTTCCCCTCCCCAAATTCACTATATATATTAGATGAAAAAATAATAACCAACACTTATTTATTGTTCCAAATGCAGGAAGATACTCGGCCACCAGAAAATGGGGACTATTTTGAGCGGGCAAGGGATCTTTTGCTTGCAAATTCCCTTAGTAATAATGATCACAATGCGTTTCCACCTGAATTTTCAGCTAATGACCAGGAGTTCCTAAGAACGCTTATTGTTGAACCACAATTTAGAGTAACCAGTGACACAGACAGGGAACCAGCCCATCACCGGGTAAAAAAATGCTCTCGATTCGCTCCAATAGCTAGTGAACCACTCTACTTTTTTCTATTGGAAAATATGACAAGGAACCTCTGTAGTAATGTGAATAATATGCCTGTCATTCACATTATTACAGTCCTTTCTAATGACACTTTTCCTATAGAAACTTAAAATCAAAATTTTGTAATGTGCTGATAGTTTGCACAGGTCAAACACTCAAAACTTTGCTTCATTTTTTGTCAGTATAGGCTTTGGAAACTTGCTCATTTTTTGGGACATATTTCTTTCAGGTCCAGAGTTTACAAATGCGTTGTGAACCACAAATACTTTATAAACTACAATGTGGTTCGAGCCAGTCCAGACGAGATACAGATGTTATACTTCATAACCAGTTATCCAGACAGGCTTCTTCCTCTGTCAATGTAGCATCCAAACCCCAGACTGAAGTTCAATTACAGTCTGGTACATATCAAAGAGAACACAGACCACAACAGCAATCAGGTCCCATCAGTGTCTTTAGGGATACTTCCGCTGACGAATATTATACAAGGGAAAAAACACGCAGAATAACATATCCAGCAGAAAAGGTGAGAGAACCAAAACTTCAGGACAGAGAACATGAAGAAAGGCCTTTTTTTTCTCTCTCTAAACTAGATATATGTTCTTATATTGAAGCTTTGTAAAGGTTATTTCCTCAACTCAGTTTGGTTTCCTTTTGCAGCCCAAAGAACCTGAAAAACCTAAACCTCCACCAGAAAAGGTGAGAGAACCAAAATTGCAGCACAGAGAACACGAAGAAAGCCTTTTTTTTTCTTTTTTTTTCCTTCTCTACACTAGATATATGCTTTTATATTGAAGCTTTGTAGAGGCTATTTCCTCAACTCAGTTTGGTTTCCTTTTGCAGCCCAAAGAACCTCCATATCCTCGAACTGCTGCTTATTTTCCCAAGAAGGTGCCTCAAGGCAGTATGAAGCAGACAGAGAATAGAACAACCTCCGGCAATTGGAAGGGTTCCTTCATTACCTGGCAAACATCCCCATTGACAAGTCCCCCATCAGTCTACATTTTCAACACGGTTCTAGGCACGATTTTGTTCTTGTTTTGTGTCCGGGAAGTAGTTTTATATGGGGAGTGGAGCTAAACTCACTCACCAGAAAATAGTTAATTCTTGTTCTCTATATTCTGTAACACATTGAGTAATGCCAGTCTTACTGGGTACTTATTGTTTGGTATAAAAATATGCGCTAATCTCAGCCATGGCGATGGTTTTGCAGTGATGAAATGTTCATATATGCCTATAGAAATTAACAGTCTTTCTTTCTACTGACCAGATGTAAGGATGTATTGAGGTCTTGAATTGTATTGCTGGAGTTTCGAATATAGCAGTGTTTGCGTTATTAAGGTCTTGAATTGTTTGGAACCTTTAATTGTTGAAGTTCAAAAATAAAAAAGATGAAATGGGGTGAGAGAGAGGCTCGAACTCTCGACCCTCAGGATAACTCACTTTCCACGCTATGAGACCTACGCACTAGCCAACTGCGCCGCCTTCCTTTGTGAAATGTTCAGGCAGGGGGTGGGGTTCGGCGGAGGGGTGTTTGATTCTTGCTGAGACATTTTTTTCATTTATAATCTTTTATTAAATTTTTTTTAAAGACCTTTTTTATTAAGAGAGGCAGTAATATACTAAACTTACACACAATACACAAATGCCTGTTCGAAGCCAAACCTTACTTTGAAGGAGCAATTGCTCTAAATCACTATACTAGTGGGTCATTTGCAAAAAAATGCTTACACTGACTGATTAAATTCGTTGGATTAATCTAATAATTAATGTTTCTTTACATGTGTATAAATGTACCGATGCAAAATACAGAGCACACCCCAACATATAACACGGATAGAGAGCCGGGGTCCACCATGTGCCACAACAAAAATTCCAAACCCATGTAAGCGCCAAAGCAGAAAGCCAAAGACTTGGAAGTCAATTCCGTTTCCGTACGCTTCTGTTGTTTTTAATCATTAAAAAATAAGAACCGACCTCATTAATCACAAAAACTCAGCATTCCAATTTCCCAATTGTCTCTCAATCACTCTCACAGCAACTCAACACTTGACAGAAACATACAGATCAATTAACCAAATTGTACCATTCTCTCTTCATAAAGGAAAAGGACAGAGAGATGGCCAGACTCAGCAGAGCAGCAGAAGAAGAAGAAGGTGACTTGTCACTGCCGGTGGGGTTCAGATTTCGGCCCACAGATGAAGAGCTGGTGAACTACTATTTGAAGAATAAGCTGGAGGGCTCCCATGCCGAAAACATCATTGATGAAATTGATATCCTCAAGTTCGAGCCTTGGGATTTACCTGGTAACTACGACATTACCAGTTCTTAAATTTTCATTCTTTTTTACTACTTCATTTGTAACTTGCATTTCAATCAGTCTGAAACTCTCTACAGGCAAGTGGGTCCAATCCAAATGTTGTGCTTTTACTTATCTACCA